GTAGGGAAAAGGGGGTGGCTGCTGATCACCCACATTCTCTCCTTGAGCATGGAAAAGCCGGTCTCGGAGCTGTTCAATCAGGAGCTGAAACAAACTATGGTTTAGTAGAAGTGTCTTGAGAGCCTCAGATGGAAGGTGCTGGTGAGGGTCAGCAGACCATGACACAAAGTACTGACTCTCAATCTGCAAAACTAACCATAACCCCAAAAGCCACCAGGAAAAAAAACAAAACCAAAACTGTAAGCGGCAATCTGGAATGTCACCTGCCATACTCTCAGGCAAAGTCTCACCAGTCCTTCCTCCAGTCTTTAGATTTTTCCCTCCTGAACACTGACCCATATTTGGGCACTAGACAGATTTGTTTCAAACTACAAGGTGACCTCCCCATTCCCTTCTTCTCCCAGATAGTTTCAGGAATAGATGCAGCTTCTCTAGAGAGCTGTTTGCCAGCACTGCTCTCTAGGAAACCCTTTACCATTCCATAGCTCCCTTCCTTTTCCCTGAACCAAAGGCACTAAAAAGAAAAAGCAAATGAAGACAAAAGTTGTGTCCTATAAAAAAAACCCATAACTCTACTCTCAAGTTAATATAATTCAGGTGGAATCTTAAGTCCTGATTCCTGTCAAAATCCAAGGTCTCTCTCATACAGAGTGTTATTTTCCCTCATATACTACTCTTCCCCACAACAGCTTGTGCCTGACTCACCTCTTTAGAGCTGCTGGGCAGGTAATTCATTGCAGCTGCCAAGCATCCCTGCGATGCCAGGAGACTGGCATATTGGGTGATTCGTTCTGCCAAGACAGGGCCTGGAGCTGGTCCTGCTGTGCCTCGAAGCATCTCGATGGACTTACTCAGCACCATCACCTTCTCTATGAGATCCTGAATAAGCCAAAGGGAAATAGAAAAGACCACTCAGAATCTGACTTGCTTCACTAGTCCATCTTATGCTGAGACAGTATCAGGTGACTCTCCTCACTTTCAACTGACATTGGATTCAATGTGATTGGAAGTTACTTCACTCTGCAACAAATACTACCACTGAATTACTGTTGCCTCAGGTGCACTTTGTGGAGAAAAACAGGAACCAGGAAGCAAACCCTGACAGTGCTACTTTTATGGTAAAGGAAAAGAAAAATCAGAAGCCACAAGGACATTCCCATCAACTGTGATCTTTTTACTAGGAAGTTAGTATATCAATATCCAAAAACAGATAGGTAGGCCATAACTTCTGTCCATGGTTGGATTTATATGCAATGTAATCAATACTCTCTAAACACACAAACCCTTAACATCTTAGAGTCTGGGCTAGGAGATACCTTGGTGACTACAAACAGGTCTCCACTGTCTGCTGGAAGCCAGATACTCTGATAGTGCAAACACATCAGGGCAACCAGACTGGCCTAAAGAGGAGTCAACCAACATTATAGCACCTGTACCTGCAGGGCAAGGGGTGACGAAGTCTCATGGTTTTTTACCCAGCATTCCACCAACCTCTCCACATTGCCTGATGAGATATAGCAGAGGCAGGCATCATTGCACAGGGATGCATCTCCCTCTGACTCTAGGCGAGCACCCAGCATGTCTGGAG